TCCGGCCGAGGAGCCCCGTGTCAGACCTGAACAGCCAATCTCCGGCAGACGTGACGTCAGGCAGCAAGTCCTAATTGGGGAACGCGTGCGAGGAGCCCAGAGCGCCGCACCCTCCACATCCACCCCGATCGTTCCTGCGCGCTGGCCAGGCCGGGTCCCCGCTCCCGTGTCCCGGGCAAGGACAAAGGACTCCTCAAAGTCCCTGGACGGTCCTGCCTTCGGGGCGCCCCACAGGGATGCATTGATATGGTTTGGAAGGCATTCCCAGGAGTTTTCCTTCGGGTGTTTGCTTGGATACTTGCTGCGGGGATTGGATTGAAATGCCAGATAGATAGGGCTCCAGGAAGGACTGCTCGGGGTGCGCCTCTCTGCCGACCCGAGAGCGTTTCGATGGCTGTGGGGTAGGGAGCCCATGCGCCGGGCTCTGGGTCTGCAGCTTCTGGTACCCTGCTCCTCGCTTGGCCGGTGCCAGAGCGCAGCTGGAGCAGCAGGGGGCGCCTGCGGAGACAGGGAAGCCCGCGACACAAATCCACCCCAAGGCAGCCCTGCCTCCGTGCAAAGGCCTTGAGGATAGAAATACTAAGTTTGGGATTCATGACAATCCCAAGCCATTATGAGTATTTTTTAAAGTCAGATCAGTTCCCTGGAGCTCTATCGGAAAGGAAAGAATCGCTCACTAGCGTTGCCCCAAAATCACATTAGGGGAGATCCAGAATGTTCCAGAGTGCAGAGTCAACGGGGGTCATAGTGCTCTCTAGGGAAAACCATGACATAATGACATATTTACTTCTGGCATTTGAATTGAAAACGATGTCTGCAGCAGAACTACTCGGTTTATTGCATGAATGCAATAGAAAGCCCATGGTTATAGCAGTCTTTTTTTTAAAAAAAAGCCATATAACTAAGAATAATAGTTGCCAAGGCTTTGGTTGTTCTTGTTCATATTTATTTGTGGCTTAACGTTGTGTTGTCTGCTTGCATTGGCTAGTAGACAACTAGTAGCAGGTGACAGTGGCTCACAAAGAATTAATGGAAATAATTTTTAAATTGAAGAAACTTAATCCACGAATCTATTTTTTCTGTGCATTGAAGGAAGACCTCCAGGATTTGATTTGGCGGGAAAGGACCTCCTTCCATCTTCATGTGAGAACACACCCTGAGAGCCACTGACCTGGAATAATAGCCTGTGCTGGAGGGAGCTGGAGGGAGAGACCTGAGAGCAGTACTGACACGGCAGTGAATTAGCTATAAGACCATGGGCAGCTCACTTCTCTGAACTTCAACTTCCTCCTCCATAACACAAAGAAGCTGGATTAAAAGTTCCTTCCAGCCCTAACAGGATCGGTGAGGTCACACCAGGTCAGCCTCTGAGCAAAAGGCAACCAGCTGAGAAGATTGGGAAGAGATCAACCAATGTACCCATGTGCATATGTGCATAATCCATGGCCACAGATGGTAGGGTGGTGAGGGCTTGGGGGCAAGGGGAGCAAAGGGGGTTGGACAGGCTAATGGGGGGGAAAGGTTCATATGTAATACTTTCAACAATAAAGATTCACTTTAAAAAGGGGAGGAAGGTCAAAAAGCTGTACTGTAGGAAGGGACACACACCCAAGCTAATGACTCTCTAAGCACCTACTGTGCTGGCGAGCACAGCGGCTGATCCTCTGCCGATGACAACATATCACAAGGCACAGCCCCTTTGTCCTATCTCGCAAGATGTAAAGAAATGAGAGCTTTAAAAAAAGCTAAACAGCAACTAAATAAAGCAAAACTTTGCATTAACAATGTTGAATTCACAAGGCAGGACCTGATTTGTACAAAACCAATGTCCAGTGCAACCTTTGTCATCTCGTGGGAGACTCACAACATCTAGGGAAACCATTTCCAACCCGCAACTCGAGTCAATCTACAGAGATTTAACCTCGCAGGTAAAATTCTATAGCAGCCATTGAAATGGATGCGGTAAGGGAGTGCCTAGAAAGATGCACTAACTCCATTCTGAAGAGCCAGAACAGGAGAGCAGAGCTGTCAGACAGGTGCAAGCTCAGAAAATGGTTAAGGACAGCATCACCAGGGGACCAGACTTCAGTGCGATGGTGGGCGGGCTGTTCTTGTGGGGCACTCACAGGGCCTAGATGGACCACAGACATCAAAGCCTCTCTCAGTCCATGAGAGGTAGCTGCCTGCAGAGACAGAATGTGGGCCGGGAGCCGTCAGTCTGGGCCAGTGATGGCGAACCTATGACACGCAAACTCATTTTTTTTGGTTGATTTTTCTTTGTTAAATGGCACTTAAATAGATAAAATAAAGATCAAAAATATAAGTCTTTGTTTTACCATGGTTGCAAATATCAAAAAATGTCTATATGTGACACGGCACCAGAGTTAAGTTAGGGTTTTTCAAAACGCTGACACGCCGAGCTCAAAAGGTTCGCCATCACTGGTCTGGGCCCTAGCACTCTGCTTCACTTCCCGTGGGAACTTGGGCATGTCGAGTCGTCTCACCTCTCTGGGTCTCAGTTTCCAGAGAGCCTGGGGGTCAACCCGAGGTCCTTGCCTTGGGGAGACGAATGACCTGGATTCGCCATGCTCTGTGGCTCTGAGGAAGCATGTTTTCTGCTGTTCGAGAAGCTTCCTTCCTCTGGACCCACAGCAACGCAGAGGTGGGCATTTCGCCCCAATCTTCAGCCTGCTTACGACCTGCCTCATGATTTGGCTCTATCACAGTCAAATCACCTGTGAAACAAAACCACAGGAAGACTCTCCAGTGTGAATGTTCATCTCATCCCCGCAGGACCCATAACCATTTCGTATACATGTGGGTATACAGAACCATGCATGTGGCAATATCCACATAAGTAAGCAGCCCCACTCTAGTGCGGAAACTCTAGCAAAGTCATAGTTTTGCACATAAATCTCGTTATTTATATACCTAGCAAGATAATCCTTGGAAAATGTGTCATGCACCCTCTGTGCTATCTTAGGAGATGGTTACTCATCTAAAACACTGAACTCACTATTATTCTAAGAGTGAAAGCCCAGTTTCTGTCCGGCATGAGGACCAGCCTTTGCCAAGTCCAGACCCAGTTTAATGCCCTGGGTTCTGGATGCACACACACACCCTCTCCCTCCCAAGGTTTCAGGTCTATTTATATTGGCAATACACAACTTCCTGGTTCACAAAACAGGTCTTTAAAGATCTCATAGAACTTCTTGGATTTCAGATGGTATTCACAAAACAATACGCAGATGAGCTAAGTGTAAATGAATCAGAAAAGAGGATTACATTTCCCATAAAAAACTCATGAGCTTGAGGATTAGGGGAAGAAAGGATGGCTGGCAAATGCCAAATGT